CAGCGCTAAAGCCAATTTCTTCCCACTATATAAATTATGAAGTCTAAGTAATTCTCTACACTTAGTAATTTAAATGTCAGTTTTACTGGAGTTTGCTACATACTATTGATGTTTGTCCTCAAATTTTTGATGCCCCAATTCCTGCAATGTGTCCTTTGCATAATGAGTAAGCAGTTAAGTGTTTGTCTTTCTGCATATAGGGTTTTTACTGCCAAAGCAAACTAGCTGGAGGAATTTACACAAAGTGACAGGAAGACTGAAAGACAATCAGGTCTCTTGTATAGCTCTCCTCCATTATCATGGCTTTTCATTCCCTAGTATTTTTGGGGAAAGCATCTGGCTCCATGAAATAAAAAGACTTTTATAACTGCAACACCAATTCATATTTAGCTAAACAATATTAAAAAGAACAACAGGGCTAGTACCACAGGGCTAAGGGCTAGAGGGTAGAAGACATATAAACTACCTGTACTCTAAATGAACTTTCAGATTGAGTTAAATTTATAGATACATACTCTAAAAATACTACATAGTGCGAATTTATTAAAACTTACTTATGTTTTGACAGTTGTCAATTCAGCATAAGAGAAATAAATCTGAAACATTTATTTTCAGTGAAAGCAGAAGACGTCTCATTTTGAAACAGTATCGGTACTTTCTACAGTTTTCCCCAAAGCACTACTATTTACCACAAAATTAGATCCCAAAGGCTGAGGCGGGGCTTCAATACTGTATTAACTCCAACCCTTATCGGGCTTCCCTGCCCCACCCCCTACATCAAGCTGCCCAAAAGACAAGAACAAAGACCATCTACCTCCTACTGTTTCTTTTTTGCATTTTGGTTCTTAAAAAATAAGTCAATGGGTTAATATACACTTGTTTTGGGTGCTGACATTTGCAGCTAAATAAGACAATGCATCAGAATTACATCAGCTTTATTTAAATGATAATTTTAGAAAGTTCTGAGAGGAAAAAATCAGCCACAGGAATTTGGACTCAACTTTTTTAGTCTGAGGACTAAAAGGGAGTGGGGGATGGGAGGACTGGAGAGAAGAGAAAGTAAATTGACTCTTGCATCAATGAACTGCTATCATCAATCTCTCTACTTCTCTCCAACGAGTTAAATAATAAATTTTCTTCTAAAAAGGTACATTAATCTCAGGTAGAACCATAGCCAATAAAACACAGAGAGTTTATTCTGAGAAAGTTAACAGGAATAATCACTGCTAATGTTTTCAAGCACATCTGAAAAAAGTCTTCTCAAAGCAAATTCCACAAGATTAATCTTTGCTGAAAATATCTAAGGCCTCTCTTGAAACTTTCCTTCAGAGCATGAAGCACACTCTTTTGCAAATCCTTAACAGATGCAAACCTACTGGCTTCCCTTAAATATGGTATGTGGGAAAAGAGAAGCATGAAAACAGTATGTATTATTAAATATTTACTTGGTGTAAAGTACACATTAGCCATCCTCAGTTCTTAAAACCACCTGTTTCCCTTACAGAGATTATAAATTAGATTGTTGTTTTGTTTCAACCTTGAGAATTTTATGTTGGAAAACTCAGGTATAAAGGTTGCTCTTGAAGAGAGATTAGAAAGCTGAGGGTTGGAGAGAATGATGATAAAGAGCAGACAAGGGTCCTCCCCAACTCAAACAAGCTGGTTGAGTGAAGATGGGGAGAGAAGTGTGCTTAGGAGGGTAGGTTCACATGGCTAACCCAAAGCATTTAAAAAGTCTCAATCACCTAATACATGTTGTATTTCTAAAAATAGTTAATAACGTCCTTGTAGTATTTAATTAGAAGGGAAAAAGAAAAACCCACTGAAAATAAGTCCTTGGAATATACATTCTCTGCAATAAGATGGGGATGATAAATGGGTAGGAAGATTCCAGAGTGTCATGAAAGCAAAGTATGGATGCCTACAGTACCTCTGTTTTGCAGATCGTCTATTGAGTATCCTGTTCATTATCTTATGCAATCTAAGATATGTTGAAGAGCCTTCATAGCTACATAATCCTTCCCAATTCCGCTCCCTCTGTATTCCTTAAGATAATATATTCATCAGTTTATACACGCTGATTTTCTTTCATATTATCTTGCAATGCTTGCTACTACTTATTAGGTGCAATTCAGTTTCTGTTTATATCCTGGGATGTAGTAGTGCTTTCGGTAGCAAACCTTCTTGTAAACAGGATAAAAAGAACAGAGAATTGTATCTTAACATTCTAGTTACTAGAACCTAGTAGGAACAAATGCTACAATAACAGTGCTTTCTATAGCTAATGCAATTTATTAATGTTTTGCTATTAAAAACTATGGCAAGATGAAGAAGACTAACAAACTAGGGCAAACTTTAGTTGCTTCAGTGAGTTTGTGGAGCTGTGACTCATCATAGGAGAGGACCTGGCATAGAAAGAACAGACTATAAAGAACTTCAAAGAAATGAACTCAGGTTCATTTGAAATTCATTTGTTCAAATGAAAACAAATATCCTGGTTTAGCTGCATATCTCTTAAGCAACTGGAAAATAATGTCAACAAGTCACATAAACGTGATGTCCATTCTTCAGAAACTACTACAATTTAACATTTGCTAACTTTGCCTCTTCTAACATCTTTGCTTTTCTAGGGAGCCGGAATGTGAATTGCTGGTTTTGAGAATAAGGGAGTGGACAGCAAGAAGGAAGGTGATGTAGATGGACAGAGTGTGTTTTATATAGTATTGGGGCTGGAATGGGAAATCAGAGATCAAAGAAGTTCAAAAGTTGGTTTTAAAAAAGGAAATTGAGGGCTAGAGGATAATTAAGCTCTAAAGGTTAAGTCCTAGAAGTGGGTGGGGCCAATGCAAATTTAGCAAGAAGTAAAAGTAAATCATTAAGCGGTCTGAAGCAACCTTTGTTCCTGGGCTAAGAATGCCAGCAAAGCGCAAACTTTCCTCCTAGAGAGATTTCTAAAAATCATCCTTAGTAGTCAGCCAGTATAACAGAACACTGGACCTGATTTACTGAGACAAAGGGTCCAGCCCAACATCCTCTGTGCTTATTCGGCAACCTCCAGCTGGATTCTACCTCCCCGGGTTCTTTATTCTACACAATTATTTAGTAGAAAAATGTGTTTTTAACACTGTTAAGCACGATTAAAAACAAACCGTGCGATTTTAAGGAGTAAAAAAGAGAGGGGAGCCTTTTTTCCCCCCCTCAAAAAAAAAAAGCAATCGGACTGCAGAAGCCAAATCTACAGACATTCAAAAACTACTACAAACCTGGTGACTATCAAATTCTAGCCGATTCAACCCCTTTCTTCAAGTACTTTTCCCCCTCAATCTCAAATGTGGTGCTAGCCTGGACCAGTACACACCCCCACAGCTACTTCATTCCATTGGCTGGTAGGCTGTCTTGCAGTCTACACCCTTTAGATCTACCCTCGGAAGATCTATCCTGCCCGGTGTTTGTCTGATGTTACACTGTTCATGTATTACCATTTTGTGTGTGTGTGCAAAGCGGCCACAGTAGGAAGATAATTTAAAAGATCGACTATAATTAATAAATTCATTTAGTTAGTAAAACTGTAGATTTCGATTCATTTTGTATGTTCCTGTATCATCTGTCACTACTGTGAAAGAGTGAAAATATCCGAGAACAATTATTTCATGCTTTGCATTCGCTTGAGTCACAGAAGATCACAAAATCTTGCAGAGGCAGACAGATGGGTCTGTCATTTTCTTTTCTACAAGTGCTCTTCGTCAAGACCCACCCTGTTTGTCACAGTGGCTAGGATCAAAAGAGCAGTGCAGTGTCTTCGGCACACAGCATCAACAAGCTCGCGGGGGGAGGACCAACTACGGGGTGGTGATGGAGCAGAAAATTCACTATCCATCGGAGCCTGACACAGCTGAGGCCGGGACTTGGGGGAGCGGGGACAGCGTGGGAGGGCGACGGTACCCGCCCGGGCTGGGCTGAGCAGTGAGCCCCCGAGGCTGGAGGCCAGGCGGGGCGGGGCAGGGCAGGGCACAAGGGGCTCACCTCCCTTGCAGGGCGTGCGGTGCTGGCTGTGCTGGGCCCGGTAGCCCTCGATGACTTCCCAGGAGCCGTCGTCGCGCCGGATGGGGAAGGACAGGCTCAGCACATGGTTGCAGGGCTTGATGATCCGCAGGATGCCACGCACCCGGTTCCGCTTCTGCTCCTCGGTCTCCCGGGTCTTGAGGTCCTCCACCAGCTTGTCCTCCACGATGCTGGCACCGCGGTCAAAGAAGCCCTCCACCATCTTGAAGAAGTTGGGGTCGTCCTCGCGGTCGGCCGCCGCCTCGCTGTAGTGTCGCCGAGCGGGTGGCACAAGCCCTGGCTGCGGGGCGGCGACGGCTGCGGCAGCCTGCCCGCGGGCCCGACCCAGCAGCACGGCCGAGTCGGTAGCCACGGAACCCAGGGCTGCGGGCCCGACGCGGGACAGCAGCAGCGCTTCACCCAGGCACCGGTACATGGCGGCGGGACGGAGGCCACGGAGGATAGACGCTCTCACAGGCCTGGAGACGGACGGAGGGAGGAAGGGCCCGCCGCGGGCTGCCCTTTTAAGCCACAGCTTCCTGCCTTCCTGGCTATCCCCTCCCCTCCGGCGCTCGCCGCCTAACGGGGAGGACGGACTTTGGGTGCCACGGGCCAATGTCGCCTGTGAATGGCAGGGCGGGGGGCGCGCACCTGAGCCGGCGGGGACGCTCGGGGGCGCGCAGTCGCGGTCGGGACGGATGCGCATGCTCGCAGGTCGGGGGGCGGGGCGAGGGCGCCCGCACGGGGCTGGGATCTGCGGGGAAGAGCTGGAGTCTAAGGTCTGTGCGCAGTCCGGGCCTCTCCCGGAGAGGGGTTTTGACTGGGGAGGGGGCCTCGGTGGGAAGAGGCCTAGCCGCCTCTTGGGGGCGCTAAGAGTCTGGTCCCAAGACCATGGGCGGTCTGGCGGTCGGCCCAGGGTGGGTGAGTCATGGGTGTCCTTCCTTTCCGCCCGCGCGCTCTAGGGCGGGGCGGCCATCCTGCCACCGCTGCGCCTGTCTTCGGATGGCCGGGAGAAGCACCGTTAGGAGGTCGGGCTAAGAGCTTGTCTTTATCCGCTGGGACTGAGACGAACTTTGGTCTTTGGAGTTGGAGTTTTGAAGTGTCTTGCAAGAAATGGAAAGGAGACGGCTTGGGAGCTGGGGACTCCCTTGTCTATTGGCTTTTACTGCTTTTAAGTTTTTAATTTTGTCCCATTCAACCACTGCGTGATGTTGAGATAGTTATGTGAATCATTGTTGTTGTATCTTTCTGAAATTTACTGTTTCCGCATTGCAGAGATATGTTCTCGAAATAGTTAAAAAACAACACTATAGAACTGCAATAATACTCCAGGATATTCTCTTCTCAGTAATAAATGTACTAATAGTCCAGAATAGAATTTATAAAGGTTAAAAGACATGAGGGTTTAATTATATACTTACACATACTTGATGAGAAATGCTAGTTATACACTTCTATGGGTACAGTTAGATGCTTGTAAAAGTCTGATGACTCAGTTTTTAAGACAAGCTGTCAAAGGCCACATTACCAACTTAAGTGGTTCCAGTGTACAGTTGGTGATTTAAAAATGGTACTTTTTTGACCTGCAGAACGACTTTGCCTCCTGACATTCACTTTATTCATCTGTTAATTAGCATATGGAAGAGAATGTTTTAATTCTTAGTTTTCTGTGAAGTATAAGGTGACAACCTAGATCAATTAGATTTCTTTCATCTATTCAGTATACTGTCAAAACAAAAAAAAAAGGTGGAGCTTATGTTTTATCTTATTTGCTAGATAGTTAATAGTGATTTACATTTGTATTGTGTTTTCAGTGGTAACTGTTCTCTGGGCTGAATCCTGAATTTGTCTTGTTGGTCAAAGGATTAAGGTATCAAGTTTCCTTTTCACTTGAGAGTGTTATTATATATTGCAAAAACTACAACAACCACAAACCTTAAAAAGTATCAGAATAAAATGATTAGAATCAGTAAACATGGAAATTCAGATTAAATTCTTGGGTATGGTTTGAAGAAAGTGTTTTAAAAGCTTAGTTTTATTGCACTTCTTTATCTCCTTCTTGATAATGACAGCCTTCAGAAAAATTAATGTTTAACTTTTCTTCTTCCAAGTTTTGTTCACCTGAATTCAAGAAGTTACTAATAGAGAAGCAATGGAAGGAGTGAGTAAATTTTAATTGAGAGTCTGTTGTGTGTCGATGTCTTATGAAATATCTCCAAAAAAACCTCCTAGATTTTTAAATTTTTAGAATCTTTGTTATGTTTTAAAATTGTGTACAAGTTGTTAAAAAAAGTCAAACAGTAAAGATAGATTTTTAAAAAGAGAGTGAAATCAAACACTACTGCTCTCCTCACTTTCCCATTTAGTAAGTAGTTAGAATGCTTCTTTTCATACTGAAGTAGGTATTATAATTCCTGATTTTAACAGGAGGGTGAACTGAGGCTTGCAGAGACCAAGTAAATAGTTGATCATCTAGATGATAAATAGCAGACTAAAATTCAAACTGTATATCTGACTTCAAGTTATGCCATTTCTAGTATTCCAAGAAATATTTTAATTATGTGTTGTATTTAGTTTAAAATTATTTACTGCGATGTAAATCTGGTAAGTTTCAGCTTTACACTGATGATTGCCTTTATAAAATATACAGATATTTTGCAAATTAAGTTTTAATTATTGATAATAATTTTCAGTTCAAAGGATGGCTCGAATTTAACTTGAAAGGAATTTTGGTCATTTGATAACATTCAATAAAGACAATTCATTTTCTGCTTTTAAGGTTTATGCATTTTCCTTAGCGGTTTCAAAAGTCCAGGTCTTTTCTCTTTGATTTGTAGCATGCTTTTGTGCTTTCAAGTGCTTTAAAAAATATTTTAGAAGAATTATTTTAGGATTTAGAAAGACATAGCATATAAATACAGGAACAACATGGTGGTTTTAAAAAATAATTTAATTAGAAAAGGCAATATATACTTTCTGTCTTAGATTTGTCTATTCTGGACTTTTTTTAAAAATGGAATCATGCAGTCATTATGTGGTCCTTTGTGACTGGCTTCTTTTACTTCGTGTATGTTTTAAAGATTCATACCTATTGTAGCATGTGTCAATATTTCATTTTTTTAATGGTTGAATAGTATTTGTTGTATGGCTATAGTCCTCTTTCATATATATTCAGTTCAGTTCAGTCGCTCAGTTGTGTTCAACTTTTTGTGACCCCATGCACTGCAGCACGCTAGGCCTCCCTGTCCATCACCAACTCTCTTTCAAGGAGTAAGCATCTTTTAATTTCGTGGCTGCAGTCACCATCTACAGTGATTTTGGAGCCCCCCAAAATAAAGTGTGCCACTGTTTCCACTTTCATATATATGTGTGTCTATATGTATCTTCTTAAAAATTTTATTTGGCTGTGCCAGGTCTCGGTTATGGCACACGGGATCTTTGATTTTTGTTGCACCATGTGGAATCCTTTAGTTTTGGCATACAGGATCTTTAGTTGCAGCATGTAGGATCTAGTTCCCTGACCAAGGATCGAACCCTGGTCCCCTGCCTTGGTAGTACAGAGTCTTAGCCATTGGACCATTAGAAAAGTTTTATGACCCTCTTTTTTTATCTATTAATCTTTGACAGATGTTTGGTTATTTTCACTTTTTGGCTATCCTAACACTACTATAAATGTTCTTGTAGATGCTTTTGTTTGGACAGATACTTTCAGTTCTGTTGGGTACACACCTGTTAGAGTGGAATTGTTGAATTATACGGTAACTCTCTGTGTAACCTTTTGGGAAGCTGCCCAGCTGTTCTTCACAGCAGCTGGACCATTTTAATTCCTACCAGTGGAGGATTCCAACTTCTTTGTATTCTCCCAAACACCTGTTATTATCTGTTATGAAGGGATAACTCATTTTGATTTTGATTTGCATTTCCTTGATGGCTAATGATGTTGAGCATCTTTTTATGTACTTATTGGCAGTTTGTATATATATATATGTATGTATTTTATATATTAATTAATTTTAATTGTAGGCTAATTACTCTACAATATTGTGATGGTTTTGCCATACATCAATATGAATTGGCCATCGGTATACATGTGTTCTCCCCCCACCCTGAACCCCACCTCCCTCCCTACCCTGTCCTGGGGTGTCCCAGAGCACTTGGTTTGGGTGCCCTGCTTCATGCATAGAACTTGCACTGGTCATCTGTTTTACATATGGTAACGTACATGTTTCAGTGCTATTCTCTCAAATCGTCCCACCCTCGCCTTCTCCCACTGAGTCCAAAAGTCTGTTCTTTACATCTGTGTCTCCTTTGCTGCCCTGCAAGTAGGATGGTTGGTACTGTCTTTCTAAATTCCATAAATATACATTAATATTCAGTATTTGTCTTTCTGACTTACTTCACTGTGTATAATAGGCTGCAGGTTCATCTACTTCATTAGAAGTGACTCAAATGCGTCTCTTTTTACAGCTGAGTAATATTCCGTTGCTTCCTTATCCATTCATCTGTCAATGGACATCTAGGTTGCTTTCATGTCCTAGCTATTGTAAATAGTGCTGCAATGAACATTGCGGTACATATGTCTATTTCAGTTCTGGTTTCCTTGGGGTGTATGCCCTGCAGTGGGATTGCTGGGTCATGTGGCAGTTCTGACAATTTGTATGTATTTTTAAAGAGAGATGTATAGTCCCATCCTTTTTCCACTTTTCAATTGGATTGTCTTTTTATTGTTGACTTGTAGGAGTTTTGGGTTTTTTTAAATTTATTTTTGGCTCTGCTGGGTCTTGGTTGTTGCACAAGCTTTTCTCTGGTGGTGGCAAGTGGGGGGCCGCGCTCTGGCTGTGCTGTGCGGGCTTGTTACAGTGGCCTCTCTTGTTGCAGAGATTGTGCTGTAGGGTGTGTGGGCTTCGGTAATTGTGGCACATGAGCTCGGTAGTTGCAACTCGAGGGCTACAGAGTGCTGGCTCATTAGTTGTGGTACACGGACTTAGTTGCTCTGCAGCATGTGGGATCTTCCTGGATATAGAACCCATATCTCTTGCGCTGACAGGTGAATTCTTTACTATTGAGCCACCAAGGAAGCCCCTTTGTAAGAGTTATTTATATATTTTTGTTTTGTATTGTTTTTCGTGTGAGAGTTCTTATATATTTTAGATACAAATCCTTTATCACATATATGATTTGAAAGTGTTTACTTCTGTTCTGTGGCTTTTCTTTTCACTTTGTTGATGCTGTCCTTTGAAGGACATAAAGTTTTTAAGTTTGATGAAGTCCAGCTTACAAATGTTGTATTTTGTGGCTTGTGCTTTTGATGTCATGTTTAACAAATGATTGTCTAATCAAAAGTCAGGAAGATTTGCACCCATGTTCTAAAAGTTTTATACTTTTAGTTTTTACATTTTGAGTTGATTTTTGTACAAAAAGTGAGGAAGGAATCCAGTTTCATTTTTTGCATATGAATAACAAATTGTCCCAGCACTATTTGTTCAACAAAAGACTATTTTTTTTTCCATTGAATTGTCTTTGAATCCTATTGAAATCAATTGACCTAAATGTCAGGATTTCTTTCTTTCTTTTTTTTAAAAAATTCATTAAATTTTAAAGAAGGTTATTTATTTAAGAACTTTTGGTAGACAAATTTTCAAACATTAACAAAGAAGAAAAAAATAGTATGATGTACTCCCCCATGCACTCATCTCCTAGCATCAACAATTAACAACACATGTTTTGTCTATGCACTCACTCATTCTCCGTCCCCTCAGTTGGACTATTTTAAACCAAATCCCAGTATATCATTTATTATATATTCATCAGCATATATGTCTATAAGATAAGGTCTCTTGATATATATAATAATCACAGTTTATTATCTTATTTGCAACAAAACATAATTCTTTGGCACTATCAGATAGTCAGTGTTCAAATCTTCCCTATTTCTTAAGAGAACACGGATACTTACGAAAAAGTGGAAGTGTTAGTTGTTCAGTGGTGTCCGAGTCTTTGCGACCCCATGCACTGTAGCCCAGCAGGCTCCTCTGTCCATGGGGTTTCCTGAGCAAGAATACTAGAGTGGGTAGCCATTCCCTTCCTCACAGGAATCTTCCCATCCCAGGAGTCAAACCTGGGTCTCCTGCATTTCAGGCAGATTCTTTACCATCTAAGACACCAGGGAAGCCCATATTCAATTTAAAATCAGTTGCCTTGATAATATGTAAATTATAATCTTTCTCAGCTTAATTGAAACTAGTTACGTACAAAAGGTGTGTGTGTGTGTGTGTGTGTGTGTGTGTGTGCGCGCGCGCGCACGTGCGCGCATATGATGGATGTCTAAATAAAAAGGTTGGTCTAGGTTGATAAAGTCTCTTGATATATATAATAACCACAATTTTATTATCACATTTGCAGCAAAGCATAATTCCTTGGCATTATTGAATACTCAGTGTCCAAATTTTCCCTATTTCTCCAGAGAACATGGATACTTATATTCAATTTAAATTTTATTTTCTTGATAACATGTAAATCATATTTTCTCTCTAGTTTAATTAAAACTAGTTATATACAAAAGCTTGCTTTAGATCTGTGTGTGTGTGTGTGTGTGTGTGTGTGTGTATGTGATGGACATCTAAATAAAGAGGTTGATCTAGGTTGAAATGGTATGAAGTGGGAAGAGCAATGCATTCTGAGAGAAAGTGTGTTAGTCACTCAGTAGTATCCGACTCTTTGTGACCCCATGGACTGGAGCCCATCAGGCTCCTCTCTTCATGGAATTCTCCAGGCAAGAATATTGGAGTGGGTTGCCATTTCCTTCTCCACGAATTTATTTCTTCCTTCATCCTTTAGTTCTTTTCCACTCACCCATATGTCTTATCTTAATGCTGGTTCCACATGGTCTTGGTTACTGTAGCTTTGTAGTAAGTTTTGAAATCAGGAAGTGTGATTTTGTTAACTTTGTTCTTTTTCAAGATTGTTTGGTTCTTCTTAGTCGCTTGAATTTTCAAATGAATTTTAGGATCAGGTGGTCTATTTCTGCAAAGAAGCCAGATAGAATTTTGACTGGCTTTATGCTGAATCTGTAGATCAACTTGGAGAATGGTGCCATTTTAACAGTATTATATCTTCATGAATCAGAAGTCTTTTAATTTATTTGAGTCTTTGACATTTCTCTCAGTCATGTTTTGTCTTATCAGACTAAGTTTTGTGCTTCTTTTCTTAAATTTATTAATAAATATTTTACTCTTTTTGATGCTATTATAACTGGAATTGTTTTCTTAACTCCATTTTCAGATTAACCATTGCAAGTATACAGAAATATAGTTGAATATTATATATTGACCTTTTAAAAAATATATTTATTTATTTATTTGGCTGCCCTGGATCTTAGTTATAGCATGCAGGGTCTTTAGTTTCAGCATGTGAGGTCTAATTCCTGACCAGGAATCCAACTCGGGTCCCTGGCATTAGGAGTGCTGAGCCTTAGGCACTGGACCACCAGGAAAGTCCCTATATTGATCTTTTATCAATTTAGGTCTCATTTATTGACTGAACTCGATTTATTAGTTCTGATAATTATTTTAGTGAATTCATTAGGATTTTCTGTGTACAAGATCATGTCATCTATAGATAGAGATAGGTTTATTTCTTCCTTTCCAATCTGGGTGTGTTTTACTTTATT